TACCTACATTTTGACAAGTCAAAATAATGTCAACTTGAAAAATGACGTAAGTTTGGTCAGTACGACGTCAAATTCACGTCATTCTGACTTTCCGTTTTCCTTGAGTTTGAGAACCCGAATGTCATTCCCGCAGCAGAACGCAGAAATTGATCACCGCGCGCCGATGTGTATCACATTCAGACTCGGACGATCGCACAAGTCGAAATCAGAAACGGAAGGTGAAAGAGCAGTGAGATGGAGAGGGCTAGGGAGTAGAGGGGAGGGAGGGAAAGCGTAGAGTGGAGGATGCGAGAGTTAAATTAGTTTCCGGGGCAAAAGCTGGCTGCCGGCCGGTTTTCAGGACCTAACCCCCGTGTATAATTCCAGAACAGCTCCATCAGGCTGGAACCCACGAAGAACCTTCCATCCAGACTATCCGACCGCCTCCGCTATAGCGCCGCACGAGGCATCCCCTAACACGTGTGCGCCCACCACCTTCCCGGACTTCGCGGGCGTTGCAGTTTGCGAAGTTAATTACCGCCGGATAATTGCACCCTATATGCCGTCCGTCTGATTAATGAGGCGCGGGTGGGCGAGAATCATCAGGGATACTGGAACCTTTACTCGTCTTTCTCTATGGCATCTCTCTCCTTTTGTCGTCAAGGAGCGATTTGCGATCCTCTCCGAGATAATGAGCTATTGATTTACGCCTGATTACAATTCTTGGCTATTTTAATGACCATTTTTGTAACTATCGCACAAATATCGGAATAAACAAATGGGAAGTTTCTAAAATTACGGGAGTTTTACGCGGATTATTGTAATTAATTTGAAAGGAATTAATGTTTTAGAAAATTAGAGATAATTTGGGATCCCAATTCTTTGAATTTAAACTCTCAAATAAAAATAAGATAATACTAATAGATTTTTTCGTAAAAAAAATTAGATGTTTTTCCTAATGGAACTTTAGTAATTTATTTAAAAAAATATCAACAAATTTCATTTTTATTTCAATCTATTACATTTTATATTATAATTTTCCAATCATGAAGTTCTAATTTCCTTATGCACTTAAGGATACTTGTATCCAAAATCCACTGAAATGTGATTGCTCGTGGATTTCGGCGAACTTGAACGAATTAATATCTGCGCAATCACGGTATTACTGTTCTCGCTCATCCCTAGAGGGTTGTTCTGAAAACGATTCCTTCGAGAAATCCTCATGGGAGAGTATATATACAGGTTCCCACAGGAGATGCTTTTCGCACCGCTTGCGGTTACCTTGCGCGAGCTTGCAAAGCAGCCGTCTTCTTCGGCTCTAGAATCCTTCATGCCTGAAGAGCGGAAACTCAGCAAGATCTCGAAAGGTTGCCTCGAAACGGCAGGTAAGCTTGATTACTTGACTTTGCGTCGCGAACGTCAATTCCGTCTGATATGCTACCGCACATGCTTAGGAGGACACTTCACACGGGTAAATGATCAAAGAGCGTTGATTGTTAATTAATTAACATTGAGAAGTACATCCAGATTACGTAATCAAGAAGCACACTCAGATTTGAACAAATTATATGCTTTGATTTAATACATCACAGATTATATGTACCTAATTATATTATGCCTGTAACTCACGTATAATACAGGGTGTATCAAAAGGTAAGATGAATCAACCAGCAGGTGAAAGAAAAGCTTTACTAGAATATATATAAATTATGAACATTATATAATTATATACATATACGACGTAGAACAAAACATACAAAATATAAAATCAGTAAAAAATCAGGAAAATAATGTTAGGTTTATTTAAATAGTACAAAAGTCTTTAATAAAGTTTACCGCAGAAGTTTCTGTAACGCATTATTGAAATAAAAAGAAATCAGCGTGAATACCGTTAGCATTCATACAACATAGATTGTCCCATTCTGCCAAAGTCCCCATTTCAGCCCATTTAACCGAGTTCAAATGCAAAAAACATCGTGCGCATTTTCATCTCAGCGATTTACGTATAGCTGCGCGCTCTGACAGCCGCTAGTAGAACACCGGCTTTTGCAATTCATGATCTAGAAAAGCTTCGAGCGGGGACGCTTTCGAAATGGCGACGAATACAGGCCCGACTGTTTGTTTTCAGCCACGCGACGAGTGTAACTGAACGTTTTCAACCGCAAAATGATGCTCGCGGTCGCGGGCATCGTGTAAACACGCGCATTCAACGCGCGGGCAAAACCGCGTCTTTCTCTATTTTTTTTTACGCCCTCCTCTGACATACTACGCTTTTGTTCTCCTTTTGCCGCGGGCGATGCGATGCACTGCGCTACATAGGATGCTCATTTGCACGTAGCATTCCATCACGGCGTCTGGCGTCATCTCTCGCTGCCGTTATCTCAAACGTCATAATCAGCAATACGATACACTTGAATATAAATACAAATGCAGATCCAAAAAGTGGCGGATCCAAGTTCAAAGCCGGATATGTGCTATTCAGGTGCAGACGCAATCCAGAATTTACTTGGAATTTTTTAGGAAATATAATTAGGTACATATATTACGAATACCAAAAATATATTCAATATCCTTTACAGCGATTTGCTACAATTGTTTCTCCTAATACCGCAAATCTCATTTTTCGGCAATCGAGATTTTTACCTGCGCTTTAACGCAAAAGGATTACGGCGGTTTGCGCATGCAACGTGCATGTCCAATTTATCGCTCCTGTTATCATTCACGTTTATCGATCGAGGCAATATGAATGCAATCATCGTCGCGGCAACGACATAAAATTTACTGCATCGGCTGTAAAATTCACCCGTGGACCAGAATGTTCGCCCGGCTGCACATTCACTGTCCGCGAGATCGTTACAAGCATCCAACGACCGAAAATTATTGAGAGGCCTGATCGATCTAATCTAACACACACAGGGTGTCTCTATCGTCGATCTAATGACAATAACGCCGTATCTTCTTCAGATTTAAAATTACTTTTCGTTGCAATTTCTCGTCTATATCGTAGCAGAGTTAATAATCTTATGATTGGCGCTCAATTTTTTTATACCTACCGCAATGCAAATGCACCACTGGATTGATTTAAGAAATATCAGCATGCGGAAGTATCAGTAAACGTTACTCCATGACATGGCTTAGCGAGATGCCGGCAAGAGATACGGCACGTCCCTGATTGCGTTTCTTAGCTCGCAGCCACCCCCTTACTGTCCATCCCGTCTGTCATCACCCCTTTCGGCGCCAACCGCCGCGCGCTTGTCTCTTCCCTTCTGCCATCTCCTCTTAATAGCGCAGCTATTCTCCCTCTCGCGGTTTTTCTTTCAGTCCAGAAAAGTCCCAGGGTCGGATTTAACCCTTTAACCTCAAGAATGTTTTTTATGTGATACTCGTATAATACTCTCAGAACAGATTTTCAGTATTATTAAAACAATTTTTATTTAAAATATACTTGTTAAATAAATATATTTATTTATTTAACAAAGTATTATGTATAATTATGTATATACGTTATATATTGAGATATACTATAATTTTCCATTACCATTTTTCAGACTTGCACATCCCTTGATTACTTTAAACTTCTTAAATTTCACAATTTATTACAATAAAATAAAAACAATAATCGAAATAGAATTACGGCAAAGTGAACAACAATAGTACTGAAATAATAGAGGCATTTAGCTAAACCGCTCAAATAAAACGCAACCGCTGCACGCCACATATGGGCCACCGCTAACAATCCTCAAGAGGTGAAAATTTGCACAAGCCGGCCCTGAACGGAGACGGCGCGCTCAGAGAGTAAACGGAGAAGAGAGGAACGGAGAAGCTTTACAGAATTAAGGAGCCATTCGCCTTTCATTAACTCACTACGGGCCCAAGGGGGAGAGATATTCCCTTCGTGCTAACTCATCCCTAGTTTATCACTACCCCGTAGACGACGACGGCGAGGGAGAGGCGGACTGTCTCCGATAGAAGGACCGGACTTTTATCCCCGCCGCGAGGCCATTTACCACCGTCGCTTGGCAAATAGGTAAACGAGATCTTTCCCGATTCTCCTAAACTCTTCAACCGCGATCTAGATTGCGCTACTTCGTTAATCAAGACGATCGAACGCGCAATCCGTTTGCGTTTTCCCCGCCAGTCCCTCCCTCACGTTTATTTTCCTCTCGGAAAACGTTCACGTTTTCCGAGTTTTAGATTAAATTTCAAGTAATCGGCGCGGGCTCTCGCCTTAATCGCTTCAGTATTCCTTTTAGAAAAGAGGACTCTAATAAAGTAATTATAGTTACTCAGTTAACAAACCCTTAATTTATTTACTTCTTTTCGTTGAAAGAAGATTCGTTGATTTTCAACGTTGTTGTTCAAATGCAGTTGAAGGTGTCGCGTTAACAAATTTATCTCAAGTAGATTTTCAAAAGCATTTTAAAATAGAAATCGCAAGATAAAAATATCAAGGTTGTAATGCTTTTTTAATAAGAGCCGATTAAAGAGTTCACAAATCATAAAGCCAATATTTCAGGTATGACAAATTAGACAGTAGTAAAAGTATTGTCATTAATTAGGTCGTGAGTCATTTTTAATCATTCCTATAAATCGCCACTACTTTTACTCAAAATATGTCGTTAATTTAACTAAAACAATGTCAACTTAACTAAACCAATGGAATTAAAATAATACTGTTAAACTGTTATACTGGTTAAAAATAGCAAAATGTTATTTAACTCAAGGTTAGTAGTTTAAATTTTATCCTTTAATATTTAGCAGTGTAGCAATTATCATATAATGGTCTAATTCGAGCAAAGGTCATAAATTCGAACGGATTCGAAATTGATTTTCGCTAAATGAAAGATAGGTTGTGTTCACCACCGTGTGATAATCCTCTTTCGGTTAACATTACAACAAATTGGGAAATACCCCGGGATCTCGCAGATCCAACCGCGCACAACCAGCGCGGGGTTAATCTTTACACGGCAGACGTGAGCTATACTCGAACCACGCATCGACTTTTCGGTGTTAAGACTTACCGGGATCGGAAGAGGGATGCGCTCTGGTGAGTCTGCAGAGTTGTAATGGCAGATAACGAGTATCCGCCCGCGGTGGTGACTTCGGCGGCGGCGGCGTCGCGCTCAGGAAACCGCGCTGAAGTTCCCAGCCCACTTCCTGGATGATCGAAGCCTTCCTGAAGTACGGCGTCACTTCCCGCAGGTACTTCACTGCAACGAGAAAACACGCCGTCAGAGAGAGTGTCTCGCCAACTCTGGATCAGGTGAAAATATAAATGTTTACGTTTTATCTCACAATTCTGTCCTAAGCTCTCACTTGATGTGAGAGCTTCTACATAACAGATCTGTCCATTTTAGTTACGTTTATTAAACTTTTATTTTTTTTCCCCCTCACTCTATAATCTGAGCATTAATATACATATTATAAAAAACACAAGCAAGAGCAATTAGCATTGCATTATAGATTTGATATTTTCGTAGCAATAAACCGCTTCCAGTCATACTTTTAGCTCAACAAATATTTTTTTAAATCAAAATACAACGTGAAAATTTATTATATACACTACAGATAGTTAGTAATTAAAGTTTAATAATGGTTTTAATAATAATTAGTAATCCTAAATTTTATCCTAAACTTTTAAATCAATAAAAAATATTCTTTTCACAAAAAAAACATTTGTCCTTGCATACTTTTCCTGCAGCCGTATGATTTACCGACATTATCGTTAATCAATGGATCTTTTAATTGGCTTTAAAAATTGCAAGTTTTTAGTCTAGAATTAAAGTCCGCACAAAAATCTAGGATGGAAAACGCGATTTTATATCAAAAGCACCAAAAAATTAAAAATATTACTTATTGGGGCACATACACAGCTGTCACCTGACGACAATATTTGCTTAAAACAAAAATTCTACAGTTTATACGTACATAATGTTTATCATTCACCCTTGGGAAAACATGTAGGAATAATATCGTGTAAGTAGAAGTAAGATTCAATGCGTACAAAAAAAGATCCATCTAATAATTATTTTAGTAATGTAAATACGGATGCAGGATGACAAGAAGAGCAGCAACAGTAGTTGCCGGATCTTGCGTAAGATAGCGAGCAATCGAAAAAAGGACAGATGTAATTTCGTTAGACAAAGACAGATATAGAGAAAACAAAATTAGAAAGGTTGACATTATCGACATCGAGGAAGTTCGCCAGTCACTGCAGGATCCCCTTCAGAAAAAAAACAACTGCAGATTCGCGAATGAGTCCATTATCGAAGAGAGGCTCGCGAGTTTTCCGGAAAACAAAAAAAACTTTAAAACGAGAAGAAGCAATTTATTTTTGATGTGCTCTATATTACTCGCTTATGAGCTGAAGCGCTCGCGCGTTTCGAGAGCCTGCGAGAATTCGGCTAGGAAAAGCTAACTTTCTTTCCAAGAGAGACGCGCGGGTCTCTGAAACGAAAGTCGTGTCGCGGAAATCGAGTATCGACCTTTCAAATTGCGGGGGTCTCTCCGCGCCGGTTAGTCGACATCTTGTCGGTCCTATTACGCGAAATTTAATGGAGAACGTCACGTGGGCGACAGCGGCGACGGCGAGACGGGAGTGGAATTCTGATGTATCGTATTCCACGATGATCCAAGATCCAATATGTTTGCCATATATGCGCGCGCGGCAGCCAGCTGTATTTACTCCCTTTCGATCTCTCAAATGACATTTCCCGCAGATCACGCCAATCCCCTTGATTGAATATATCAGCGTTCATCAGCGTTAGCGCTCTCAATGTTAGCGCCGTTGCTCTCTTGCGCTTGACTTCAGTTTTATGGGAATTATACGACGAGAAGATATATCATAGGTCGAATTATTCTACTAGAATATCTTCGCGCGGGAGGAAGAATTAATTGCAATTTTACAGCCAGTTAAAATTGCATTTCCGTTTCTGGTTCATTAATTAGATGAATTATACGGGGCCAATTTCGGCGGGGATATCCCGCTGAATTAATTTCGCGCTGAAAGGGTTAACCGGGGGGAAATGTGGAGGACCGTGTCCACGGCCGAAGATCAAGCTGCCGTGTCCAACTTTTCATGCGCGCACGTACTCGCTGCTGCGACCTAGCGCTGCCATATGCCGACGCGCAACGTATTTCTATTGAATTTATTTCGGTGCTCTGGACGGTGCACGTTGCTGATTGCAGCTACATCGAGCCGGCCAGGCAGGCAGGCCAGGCAGGCAGGCATCGGGACGCCGCCGGACTCGACGCAGAGCGCAACGCTTCGCTTGCCAGTCACGTATTCCTGCATCATTTGCTATGGGTTTCATACCAGCCATAACTCTACGGATATATCCACCCCCCTCTCCCTCCCTCGCCCCTGTTACCCCTTTCTCCACCCCTTCCCACCCCCTCCTACCCCCTGCGTCCCCCCGTTCGGCCTTCGACCGCTTCAAATCCCACGCCATAACTGCTGCGCGTCGAAATTGTGTCCTCTCCCAGGCCTTGCAGCTCTTAATCCGCCGTGCATTCATCGCGCCGAGGAAGTGGCGCATCGGAATTAATCAAGTCTTGCCTGTCATCGTTAATTTGAGCAAAGGCCGCTAATTTTCATTTCGCCAGCGAGCTGTTAATCGCGAGGGTGCGCGCCTTTGACAAAAGAGAATTCACGACCGGAATTGAATGGCATTGTATACTATGCTTGCGAGTCGGCGCGCGAGCGGAGCAGTGTATCGCGGAATGATGTGACGAGAAGATCGGTATAAGCTTTGATTGAGCTTTCACGTATAGGTTTGTTTAACGGTATTGTAACAGCTACTACAGATTCGTCTAGTTGCGTTTAGAATAAACTTGGACATTTCACATTTATATGATTCCTATAAGCATGAAATGGCAACTTGCAAACGTGTTGAATAAAATGTAAATTTACATGTGTAACAAACAAAATAAATCAAGTAAAAGCAAAATAAAATATAGATTCTAAAAACAATGAAAAATCCATACGTATACTAACGTTATTTAAATATATTCATAAATAAATCTGTAAACACAATTAATCTAGTGAATTCTTTAATCTTGGGATTATAAATACCATATTTAAATATGGGATTTCATCGTATTAAACTGTACGTTTGTATAGTTTCTTTATCCAGAATCACTACCTTCCTGATTGTACATCAGTTGCAGAATACCTCGCGTAATCCATTGTTATGATACACATACTAATTGAAAAATAATTAAGTAAAATACATTATGTAAATGAAACATACTTAAAGAGAGACTGGATCGAGTTAATCAAATTCCATTTTTATATATATTCTTCCTCGAGCAATCTTTTGTTGGTTGAATAAGCGGCTCATAGCTTTCAGCTATAAGAAATCGAAGTTCGAACAAAAACCCATTGGTCCGCGAGGATCTATTATTGCGCGGCCTCCATCGGCACATTCTGCTTGCATTTCGTCGTCGAATGCGAGCCGTTACGCTGAATGGCCAGTGCAGCGTTGCGAATCAATCGACCATAATCGCGCCCGTTGAATCGCGTTCTCCCGTTTCCTGCGTCTGGAAAAAGCGTTTCGATGGCGGCCACGCGTACCGCATATCAATAGCCCATCTCGTCCCCCGAAAGCTGGCCCCTGCACCCCAGGAAGGATGCCTATAGCGTCGTCCTTGTTGCGGCCAGATAGGAAACTAATAAACCGGAAGACGGCTATCGTGCGCCCGTACACGGCACAAATCGATCATGGCTCGATCCCAAGGTCGTATTTCGATCTTCATACGTCACGGCCTATTGAAGAAGCGTTAATAGACAATTCAAACATTTGCACTGCATGGCACAATGTGAACCAAAGTTTATCGTTTATCGTTAATCTACTTAATACACATATAATTGTGAATTCTCCAAGTTCCTCATTAAAATAAAGTATATATACATATTTTATTTTAAAGATATAGAAATAAAAGAAATGCGTAATACTTCAAAGCATCCACACGCGTTCAAGAAATATTATTAATCTATCTATATAAAATAGAATGTCTGTATGTATGTATGTATGTATGTTCTTTATGCACTCTTAAACTATTCGACCGAATTTTAAAGAATTGTATATGAATCAGGGGTAGAATTTCCCGGGGAGTGTCATAAAGTGTATAATTTTTGGTTACCAATCTTTTGGAAAACCGGTATCAGAAATTTTTCCAATTTTTAGGGAAATAATTGACCGATAAAAGTATAAAATAGGGATAAAATTTTTTGGGGAGTGTTATAGAGTGTATAGTTTTTCGTTACCGATCTTTTTGGGAACCGGTATCCGAAATTTTTCCAATTTTTTGGGAAATAATTGATCGAATTTTAAAGAATTGTATATGAATCAGGGGTAAAATTTCCCGGGGAGTGTCATAAAATGTATAATTTTTCGTTACCAATCTTTTGGGAAACCGGTATCAGAAATTTTTCCAATTTTTAGGGAAATAATTGACCGATAAAAGTATAAAATAGGGGTAAAATTTTTTGGGGAGTGTTATAGAGTGTATAGTTTTTTGTTACCGATTTTTTTGGGAACCGGTATCCGAAATTTTTTCAATTTTTCGGTAAATAATTGACCGAATGTTTTGTAGGAAATGTTTTCATTCTGACGTAATTCCTGACATAAACATAAAAAGTGTGTCGGGTGGCTGATTTAAAAGCGGCAACTTAACTTTTCCGTTTGAACAACACATTCCAGATGCTTGAGTTTTAAACTTTTATTATGGGATTGATACTTATGGGGTTGGGGGCCGGGAAAAATTTTTAGCCGGTGAATAAGTTCGGCATAACCCTGGGGACCAGCCTTAGGGTATGCGTAAGCATTTTCCTTCTCCAACGAAAAAAAAAAATAGAATCTTAAAATTTGCAAAAGTTCCGTGGAAGAATCAACTAACCGATAAAACAAAATAGAAATAATAAATATCCACAATTAGTAGAAATTATTTTAGTAAAAACATTAATTATTTAATTGATTTTTGCTTGATAAGCTATTGCCTGATAAAAGAATTTTTTTCGTTTGAGAAGGAAAATGTGCGTTCAAGAAATATTATTAATATATATATATATATATAATTTTATATTTTATAATAAAATATTTTATTTGTATAGTTTTATTACTAATTTTATTACAAAGACATTGGTTTTATTGTACTTTTACTTTACTCGCGGTCTTGTTTCGCCGACAAAATCTATATCTCCGTGAAC